AAAGTGCCCCTACCTGTAGAGGGCCAAGAGACCAGCCCACAGGCTGTGCAAGGGTCCAGGAGAGCCTAGGGGTGCGGAAGCCGCTCTGGCCCAGGACACAGAGGGTCCCTCGAGTTCACCACTCCATCCTCCTGCGCGTGGGGTCCTGGCAGGACCCCGGAGGTCTCTGCCCCTCCCCACCAGCTCCTCCAGCCTCGCTGGGGTTGGAGCAGGCGTGTGAGCAGAGAAGGTAAACGGGGCAGCTGCTGCGGAAAACAGTCCACAGCTCCTCCAGCGATGAAGCATGAAGCACCTGGGGACCACAAGACCCAGAAGCCCCGGGACCAGGTGTCCACCCGGGAGGAAGGTCACACGTCCTCACAGACACATGTACACCCACCATTCCCAGCAGCCAAGAGGCAGACACATCCCCCGTGTCCGTGGACAGATGAGTGGGGAGATAGGACGCCTGTCCACACCATGAAATGTTCAGCCAAGCCGGGCGCGGTGGCTCAAGCCTGTAATCCCAGCACTTTGGGAGGCCAAGGCGGGTGGATCACGAGGTCAGGAGATCGAGACCATCCTGGCTAACATGGTGAAACCCCGTCTCTACTAAAAATACAAAAAACTAGCCGGGCGTGGTGGCGGCGCCTGTAGTCCCAGCTACTAGGAGGCTGAGGCAGGAGAATGGCGTGAACCCAGGAGGCGGAGCTTGCAGTGAGCCGAGATCGCGCCACTGCACTCCAGCCTGGGCGACACAGCGAGACTCCGTCTCAAAAAAAAAAAAAAAGAAAAAAAGAAATGTTCAGCCGCAAAGAGGCTCAAAGTCCCAACACACATCACAACACGGCTGGGCCTCAGACACATGCTCAGTGCGAGAAGCTGGACACAAAAGTCCACATGTGGCGTGACCCGTCTACGTGAAATGTCCCGACCAGGCGAATCCAGAGACAGGCGATAGGTTAGTGATGGCCAGGGCCGAGGACAGGGACAGAGGGTGACAGCTAGGGGACGGGATCTTTAGGAGGTGGGAAAATGTTCTAAAATCCACTGTGGCAATGGTCACACAGCCCTGCGGCTCCACGAAACCCACTGAGCTGTGCACTTTAAATGGGTGGATTACTGTCTCAGTTACAGCTCAGTGAAGCTGTGAAACTGAAAAGAAGCACCCTGGCCGGGCGCGGTGGCTCACCCCTATAATCCCGACACTCTGGGAGGCCAAGGTGGGCGGATCACTTGAGGTCAGGAGTTCGAGACCAGCCTGGCCAACATGGAGAAACCCCGTCTCTATTAAAAATACAAAAAATTAGCCATGCGTGGTGGCACACATCTGTAATCTCGACACTCTGGGAGGCCGAGGCAGGCAGATCTCTTGAGGTCAGGAGTTTGAGACCAGCCTGGCCAACATGGAGAAACCCCATCTCTACTAAAAATACAAAAAATTAGCCTGGTGTGGTGGCACATGCCTGTAATCCCAGCTACTTGGGAGGCTGGGGCTGAAGAATTGCTTGAACCTGGGAGGCAGAGGTGGCAATGAGCCGATATCACGCTGCTGCACTCCAGCCTGGGCGACAAGAGCAAAACTCTGTCTCAAAACAAAAAAAAGAAAAAAAGAAAGAAAGAAGTCCCCAGCCAGCCTTCAGTTCTCTCTGAGCCTCGGCCTGGCCCCTCCCGGTGTGCCTGCAGGAAATGACCCCCCAGCGCCACACACCTGGCAGGGTGGAGGGAGCACGGGCTGGTGGCAGCCTTGCCTCTCAGGCTGCTCCAGGCCAGGGTCAGCCCTACAGGGGTGACTTGGGAAACCCAGTCTCGAGAGGTGAGGCGTTGCCTGGGGTCACACGGCTTGCAGGAACGGCCAGGGCTGGGCTGCCGGGGCCCGCACGGCCCTCCCGCCTCCACCAAAACCCACTATGTTTATTCAGGGACGTGAAGGGGTGCCCAGGTCCAGCAGGCAACAAGCCGAGCAGAGCCTGCCGTCCCAACAAGACGGCCAAGGGAGCTCGGCACCCTCAGTCCCCCAGACAGGGCTCTTCCCCTCTCTGGACCTCAGTTTACCCATAGGTGAAAGGAAGGCACAGTCAGATGGTCCCTAAGGCCCCAGGGACCCAGGCCAGCCTTGCCCTCCCCCACAGCCCCAGCAGCGGGGCATCTGAGCCTTTCATCAGGAAAAGGAGACTAAATTTATGCCTCAGGCCCCCTCTGCGCTTGGCAGGGCAGAGGTCAGGCTTCCGGCGGCCCCCACCCCTTGACGCAGTTCCCTTTCCCCTCTGGGGGGCTCTATTGTTCTCGAGGGCTGGTTCCCAATCTCCCCAAACACTCACTTCCTGTTTCCTGACCGAGAGGAAACAGAGATTCCTGACCAGGCAGATGCCTTTTTTTCCCTTTCTCTCTTTGCATTTTTTAAGGGTATTAAATAATAATAATAATATGACGGCAGCCTCGGTGCTGAGGAGCGTGGACTTGGGGGCTGGAGGAAGCCCAGGGCCACCTGTGTGGGGCTCTGTGGACCCTCCTTTGAGAATCTGCTGGAAGCTATGGACCCCTCCTCCCTCCCCACCAGGGAAGGGCCCAGGCACAAACTGTCTGCATTGTGACTGGGAACAGGGAGACCCCGGGACCCTCCCCAGGACTCCCAAGACCCTCCATGCCCTGATCTGACATGTGGGGAAACTGAGGCAGAGAAGCCTTCAGGGCACCTGTGGTCCCTGGCCCTACCGGAGCTCCATGACAACCCCGCAAGAGAGACGGGCATGAAGCCTCCAGGGAGGGCCCCCCACACCCTTCCCAGAAGCCCACAGACCCCAGAGGCACGGGCTTCTCCAGGGGAGGGCCCCCCAGCCACTGTGCCTTGCAGAGACTGGGGTCCCTGTGGCTCTGGGTTCCTGTCCAGCCCTGCTGGGGAAGGCCTTGGGAGCTTGAGCAGCCACTCCCATGGGGCCTCAGTTTCCTCGTCTGTAGATGGGGTCAGATCATTGCCTCCACCTCGCAGGGCCAGGGCAACGGCCCCAAGAGGAGACACCCGAACCCAGCACCCTGCTCACAGGCCTGTCCGTCTCTCCCACTATTTTCTCCCTTAACGGCTTGGAGCGCCTGGCCGCCAGCTCTCCCCACACGGGCAGGCAGGGAGAGGACAGGGCGGAACTGCCGCCCCTCCACCGGCTGCCCCACAGGCCCCGAGTTCTTGGGAACTTCTCCTTCCGTCGCGGGAGATGAAGCATTTTTTCCCTTGATGTTAACAGCTGCCCCATCTGTCGGGCCTGGAAAATCACAGCCCACTGAGTGGGGCTTCTGTGCCGTGTACCAGTGCCAGGCGTGAGGGCAGCCTCAGGGGGCCGGCAAGTTCCCCTTCCTCAGCCCCATGGGAACCTCAGCAGGGGTGGGAAGTAACCTCCAGGGCCTGCAGGAGCCGGATCCCAGACGCTGGACACTGGGACCAGCCCCCTTCACGACGCTGAGGACCCCGATGGGTCACGTGAGGCCCTGGCAGCCGCATGGGGTGGGGACTCCGAACTCACTCAAGGGGGTCACATGACCCTCCTTCAATAATCTGCTGGAAGCTACGGACCCCCCCCTTCCTCCCCCCAGGGAAGGGCCTAGGCACAAACTGCCCACCCCGTTACTGGGAAGTGGAGACCCCAGGACCCTCTTCAGGGCTCCCAAGACCCTCCATGCCCTGGTCTGACACGTGGGGAAACTGAGGCAGAGAAGCCTTTAAGGCAACTGTGGTCCCTGACCCTACTGGAGCTCTATGACAACCGCGCAAGACAGACAGGTATGAAGCCTCCAGGGAGGGACCCCCACACCCTTCCCAGAAGCCCACAGGCCCCAGAGGCACAGGCATCCCCAGGGGAGGGGCGCCCCGCCCACTGAGGGGCTCCATCTGAGGCTCACCCTGCTCAACAGGACTTCCTTGAGAGTCAGCCCCGACCACCAGTGCCCACCTCGTGAGCTGCCAGGTAGCACCCAGTGTCCACCTGGGGATCCCTCTCCCAAGCTCACTCCCCAGTGGCAGCTTCTTCTCTCTCCTCCCCTCCAGACTCCCCAGGTGCCACAGGGACATCCACCAAGCCTGCAGCTCACACAGCCCCCCGAGGCCCACACTGTGCTCTCACCCCAGTCGGGTGTCTCCCCTGTGAAGCAAGTCTCTCCCTAGGGACAGATTCTGCTGTTTAAAAAATAAGATTTTCTTCACCTTCCTATATGAACAAAAATAACAATACAGCAATACCACTGCAAAATCATCAGAATGGCTAAAATGAAAAAGACAACAGCAAGTGTCAGCAAGGGTGTGGGGTGGCCGAATGCTCCCACGCTGCTGGCAGGGGACCTGAGAACTGCTGGGCATTCCCTGGCTTCCTGCCCCTCCTGGGACTGGAGACCCCCCAGGGACAGCATAAGGGGATTGCGTCTGTCGGCAAATCTGCCAAGAGATAACATGAGGATGTTCAAAGCTAAGCCCCCAGGCTGGTAACAGTTCCGAGGCACCAGCAGTGTGTGTGAAGAACAGGGGGGTCTGTTCTCCTAGGGATGCCTCCAGCACCTGCTGCCAGCAGTGGGGCACGCCGGTCCCCTGGGGCGTGGCCGAGGGGCTGTGTCTCCTGCCCGGGCTGCCGGCCCCTCTCAGGTTCACTTTCCCATTTCTAGGCCCATGTCTCGCTGCAGCTCGAGTTTGCCAGGCCACCACTGGGTGACACACCCAGCACAGTGGGGGACTCCACACTTCCTGCGCACCTGCTCCGAGTCACCTCTCCCAGGTCCGGGCCTCTGCCCTGTGGAGCGGGCACCCTGGCAGGGGCACGGAGCATGGAGCATGGGCAGGATTGGACTTTGTGCTGAGTGTGGTGGCGCCTTGGGAGAAGGTCACACGACCCGATGTCTCCCTCTGCAAAGCTCCCTGGGCGCTGGGTGTGAAGGGCAGTGGCACCCAGCAAGGCCGAGGAGGGGCTACTGTCATCCAGGCAGGAAGCGGGGTGGACCGGACCAGGGTAGGGACAATGTCGGGAGAAGGGACACTCCGATGCAAAGCCGGTGGGGACTTGCCAAGAAGCCAGCCCACAAGGCCATGGACACCTCCACGCCGTCAGCTGGAGAAGTGGACGGCCGCAGGAAGGGAGACAGGAGCAGTGAGGGAAAGGGTGAGGGGTCCCCTGGGAGACCCCCGAGGCTCAGGGCTCAGGCCCCTGGGATCCAGTCCTGGGCCTCCATTTTCCACCCTCGAGCAAGCGGCTTCCACCCGTGAGCCAACTGCCTCCTCTGGAAATGGAAGCCCCTCAACTCAAAGGGTATCAGGGGCTGGAGCAGGCAGGGAGAGGAGAGAGGAAAGACGGGACGCTCACTTCTGCCTGCCCACAACCTCACTCAGGAGCAGACGGCTCCTCTGCCCGCAGGCACCCCTGCCTGGCAGCTCCCTCCAGCCCCCGTCGGGTCCGGGACGTCCTCTGATGGGAAGGTCCCACCACATCCGTGGCTGACAGAGTCAGCCTGTCCAAGGCCGGGGGGCGCTCGGGGTAAACAGGAAGCCCCATCCCTCCGGCACTCTGCTTCATTCCCTCCTCCTGCACCTCCTGCAGCCCGGCTCCCACGGCCGCGCCTGGTGCCCCTCAGTCTCGCGCCACCTAAGATGCCCAGGCTGGCCTCCGCCAGGGGCTTAGTCCACCCTCTCCTGGGGCTGCAGAGGCCAAAAGCACCCTGGTGAGGGGTTCAGGAGGCCCAGGAGGGCCCGGGGGGCTCCGCCAGGCCCCTCCACGCCTCTCTGCCCAGCCAGCACGCTCTGGGAAGGTAAGGCAGCCCTTCCCCTTATAACTAACCTCAGAACATTCCCAGGCGGCTGGAAGGCCACTGGGACAACCTGGCCCTACTGACAGGAGAGCCGATGGGGAAACTGAGGCCTGTGTGGGGCACAAAGCTGGGACCAGAGCTCCAGCTTCCTGCCCCTGCCAGGCCTCCACCTCTGACGCCACCCCAGGCAGGGTGAGGCCCCAGGCTCCAGACCTTCCAGTGCCTGGATGAGGACAGCTGCAGGCCTTGGGGTGGCCGCCCTCTCCCACCAGGTCTCGCCCTCTGTGCTGGGCCCCCGAGGTGAGAGGAGGAGGCCAGACGGCCTGGCTTTCGTGGGGCTGCAGCCTGGGCAGGAGGCACTGCCAACTTCCACAATGATTCGCTGCTACAGGTCTGTGTGCCATGATCCCAAACGCACGCCAGCAGAGAGAGCGGCAAGCACAGGGAAGGGGCACTCCAAGGACAGGAGGGTGAGGGAGGGGCCCGCCTGCCCCCTGCTGAGCCCCTGGGCCTTGGACACAAAGTGTGCTCCACCCATACCAGAACCTAGGGGCAGCCTCAACCCCCTGCACCCCCAGTACCCTCTGGAGTCCAAGAGGGTATAGACAGAACCCACTTCTGTCCCCTGCCAACTCCTCGCCCCTCCTGTCCCTGCTGGGCCCCTGGCATTAGGGCAGTACCCCAGTCCGCCTCCTGTACCTGCCCCTGAGGCTCCGGGAGCCTGAGAGAGTGGAGTGCCCCTCCTGTGGTGGCTCCAGGAGACGGGATAGGGCAGAGCTGGCACTCTGGGCCTGAGCCCAGGCCTCCTTCCCTCGGGGAGGGTCTAGTCTTGACCTGGGGAGGGGCTGGGGGCAGGGAAGAGTTTGTCAGGGGGGGTTGCAGTGAAGAACAAGTTGGCCGCAGGCTGGGCCCAGCCCCCCAGGCTGTCACCAGGAGTCCAGTGCCAGGAGGACAGCCTGGGGAGGACCCAGACTCTGCCATTGCCCCCTGGCCTGTAAGCACAGCAGTGAATTCACCGGGAAGGCCCCCAACGGACCAAGCCTTAGCGAGACTCGTGCACTTGGCTACTCAGCTACTCCTGCCCCGAGCTGTCCCCTGGCCAGACAGGTGTGATGAGAGGGGCTGCTCCAGGTTGGGACATAGGACAAGCTAGGGTGGGGGACATGGGGCTCCCCAAGAAGAGGAAGGAAGGGTGAGGCGGCCTCCTGTGCCAAGCATCCTAGCCCTGCCCAGCCTCCAGGCTCACCTGGGCCGGTCACTTCTCCCTCTGGGCCTCAGTTTCTCCCTCTGTACACAGAAAGGGTCGAATCTAGCCCACCCCACGCTTGTAGATCCTTCTACCCGCAGGCCAGCACAAATCCAGGGGCGTGCAGGTGGGGGAGGAGGGGGCAGGCCGCAGGGACGCAGACAGAGGGCAAGAGGGCACCTCCTGGGATGGGAGCACAAGCCTATTGGGCCCTATATGCAGGAGTAGCTGAGTAGTCGAGTGCAGGAGTCTCGATAAGGCTTGGCCCGCTGGGGGCCTTCCCGGTGACTTGACTGCTGTGCTTACAGGCCAGAGGTGAGGGCAGAGTCTAGGTCCTCCCCAAGCTGTCCTCCTGGCACTGGGCTCCTGGTGACAGCCTGGGGGGCTGGGGCCAGCCTGCTGCCAACTTGTTCTTCACTGCAATCCCCTCCTGACAGCTGGAGGGACAGGCTGGCCAGGGCAGGACGAGCCACTGGGGAGAGTCAGGGGGCCGAGGGAGGCACAGGGCGGCTGAGGGTGCGGCCAGTAGGGTAAGGGCCAGATCCCAGGGTGGCCTAGTGTGGAGGAAGTGGGGAAATGGGGTTCTGCCTATCCGCTCCAACCTCGGGGCAGGGGCCACCTCTGGAGAGAGGCCCCTCCTGCTCAGACCAGCAGTGCCTGGGTGCCAGGAGCGCCCCCTTCAACCATCTCAATGACCACGGAGCAGGTGCAGAAACTGAGGCCTGGAGAAGAGTGAGGGCCTGCCTCGCTGAGGCCCTGAGCCCTGACCACAGCCTGGTGCCCAGAGTAGACCCTTCCTCTGGCCATGGGTAGAGGGGAGCTGGTCCCTGCTTGAGGGGCAGGTGCATCACGTGTGGGTGAGGTTTCCCAGCTGCCCTCCAAAGTCCAGAGGGGAACTTCCCCAGCTGCCCCAGCCTCCCTTGGCCCAAGTTGTCCAGCTGAGTGGGCCTGGAGAGGTGGGGACACACTGACCGCCCAGGGCCAGGGAAATGGGGGTGTCCCAGGCATCAGGCCGACAGGGGCTGACCCCAAAGCAGGGCTCACACCCCACAGACAACGGGGCTGGGAGAGACCCTGCTGTCCTGGATTTTCAGGCTTGCCCTCCGAAGCCACCCAGCTCCCTTCAGCACCGTGCCCCTCCCACCCAACCCACCATTGCCACAGCGGCTTGGCCTGAGGCTCCCACTGCCACCTGAACAGGGAAGCTAAGGGTCAGACCTAGGGGCTGGGACCCCAGGAATGTGACACAGCACCCCCTGTGATCACCCACAGTGTCCCGCATCCCTCCCTGCACCCCCGGCCGCAGTCTGCTGCCAGCCCAGAGCACCCCTGTGAAGTGGGGCTGAGGGCATTGGGCCTGCTTGCCCATCTCCAGGGCAGGGGCTCATGGTCTCACTGGCAGCTCTCTTGGGGGAGACAGCTTGGACTCCATGCCTGCCGCCTCCCATCACCCCCTCACCATGGCGGACCTTGGCAGACCTTGGGCCTCAGGGACCCACAGAACAGGCTGTTCTCAGACCACTCAGCCTGTCTTGCCACCTCAGTCCCTTCCGGCCGGGCCTTGCCACTCGCCACCCTCACTGGTCAAGGCTCCAGTGCGGCTGGTCCCTGCCTTAGCCTGGGGCCCCTCCAGGCTCCCACGCTGTGTCACACACATCTGGGGGTGTCCTGGGGGAGAGCCCAGCACTCTGTGGCCCAAAGATGCAGCAGCTCCTTTCTGTCCAGCCACATGCAAGCGTGACCTGTGGACCCACGGTCCCGGGAGGGCCCTGGGCTTGTGTCCTCCATCCCACGCTCTCCCCAGAGTCTCCCCAGCAGGGTCCAGCCCTGCTTTCTGGCTGTTTTGGGGCTAGACTCTGATGGCCCATGGGACAGCTTCCCCACCCCCGGGCAGTTTGTCCAGGCCCCCTCACACGGTGGCCCCCGCCCCCCTTAGGCTCCTGTTTGTCCGACGACACGTCCCCGTTATCAGCGGAGAACACACACAGGAAGTCCGGCTGGGAAGGGCCCATCCCAATCCCGATTACCCGGGACGGAGCATAAAAAGCCGCCCTTCCTCGCCCGGGGGGAGCCTCCCTGCACCAAGCCAGCCCAGCACGGCTGCAAGGGAGGCTCCTGTGGACAGGCCAGGCAGGTGGGCCTCGGGAGGTGCCTCCAGGCGGTCAGTGGGCCTAAGGCCCCAGCAAGGGCCAGGGTCCATCCCCGGTCCCAGGACACAGCAGCGGGCCACCATGGCTACGCCTGGGCTCCGGCAGCATCAGGTACGGCAGGGGTGGCCTTGGAGGGGCAGGGAGCGGACAGGGCAGGCCCCCCGTGCCCCTCACTCCCGCTGACCACGGCGCCTGCTGGCTGCTCCGCAATCTGCTTCCCGGCGAGGTCACAGGGGAGGGGGTCCCGGTCTCCTCCCCTTCTGCACAGAGGAGGCCACTGAGGCCCCTGAGCCAAATGCCTGCTAGCGGGTAGCTCAGTGTAGATCCCAATCCAGTCTGCTGACTCCAACACTTCACCCCCAGCTGCCCTTCCCCTGAACCCCACCCTCTGGCCTTTCTCTCCCTCCGCAGAGCAGCCCCTGGGGTTGGCAGCAAAGTTCAGCTCAGCTGGGCCCGCTGTGAGGGACTTAGTGCTACATCCTGGGGTGTCCCAAGGGCTGGGGTCTCCTCAGCTTCTCCCTAGCAGTGAGGTCTGGGGAGGGGAATTGGCCCCGAGGGAGAGGAACCCCAAAGCCAAATCTGTAGCCAGGATGAGCGGTGTGAACCTAGGGTGTGGGACGTGGGGCTCAGGCTTAGGGATGACTTGGTAGGGCATCGTGGGCAAATAGGTGACTCTGTGGGCCCCCCATGGACCTTGGAGAAGCCCTCGTTCTCCCTCTCCCCAGCCCCATGCAGAGTGGCTGAAGCCCCATCCCCAAACCCCCGGAGTCATAGTGGGTCCCAGAAGGCCCCACTTTTTGTCTCATACGTCCACACCAAGAGGCCTGTCTGAGAACCCCCACTTTCCAAATGGTGGGGCCTAGCCAGGACGGGGGTAGCCAGGGCTGGCTCGGGGCCGCCCCGGAGTTGCCCTTTCTGCTCCATTGCCTCTTCCAGATTCAGGCAGGAGACGTGGGGAGGCAGGTCAAAGGGTTAAGTGACCGCAGCTCCAGAGATGAGGCCAGGGGCAGAGGACAGGGCAGGGTGGCTCTTCCCCCCAGAGGCCCCCTAGGCTCCACTCTGAACACTTCACTGCCGGGGGCTGGGTAAGAGCCCCGCGTGGGCTCAGGGTGCCAGGAGGCCCAGGACTCCCCAGTCAGATGAGGAACGATCCCTGACAGCAGCTGCTCTGGCCGTCCCTCGGACCACGTGCCAGGGGTTTCCAGGGCCCCTGGTCCAGAGCAGTGGCCACCGGATTGCAGGGTGGAGCGGCCTTATTTTGGGGGCTCCTCTCCAGGGACCTGGGCCCCTCCTTTCCTCCAACTCTCATGCACCAAGGTAGGACCAAGCTGGTGGCCCTCCTCAACCCATCTGCAGGCCTCTCGCCCAGCACCCTGGGTTTTGGGGACGGACCTCCAGCTCCACTCACAGCAGCCTTTCATCCCCACGCCGGGGAGTCCAGGGCTGGAGGCAACAGCCCCATTTTACTGAGGCCAGGAGCTGTGGATCCGAGAGGACGATCAGCTCGGGACAGGATGGGATCGGGGTAGGTACAGGATGGAGGCCTGTAGGCCTAGTGCAGGTGGAGGTCCCACAGCAGCACCAAAGGCTGGACCCGGGCCATCCCAGCCCCCAGACATCAGGGTGACCAGGACTGTGCATAGGCACTAACCCACACCTCCTCTCCAACCGCAGCCCCCAGGACCGGGGAGGCACAGGTGGCCCCCATCACCCGGAGGAGCAGCTCCCGCCCCTGTCCGGGGGATGACGGATTCTCCTCCGCCAGGTGAGTCCGGGAAAACCCCTTGCTCCCAGGGAACACGTCTCACACAGGTGCCCACACTGGCTACGAGACAGGGCACTGGCTCCTGCAGGGGTCTGAGGGGCTACTGAATTGGGCTGGCCCAAGCCCCACATGCGGCGCCCTCAGTAACAGCTGCAACAATTGTGTTGTGGCCATGACCTCATCATCACTAGATCCCAGGGCTGTTTAGCCCCATCTTACAAATTTGGAAATGGAGGCCTGGAGAGGAGAGGTGACCAGCCCAGGGGCCTCCGGTGTGAGAAGACTCCCTGGGGGCCTGTGTATTCTCTGGGAGGAGAGTGTTCCGCGATGGCCCTGACTGTCCTGAACACAGCAGTGACCCAGTGAGCCCGGTGAGGGTGCCTGATGCCTGAGAGAGGGCCAGGTGGGGGCCGGCACAGGGGCCCCCAGCCTAACACGCTAAGGCTAGGAGGGAGGCCTGGGCTCTGCCATGTGGTCTTGGAGGAGTCCCGGGTCTCTGGGCCTGGGGTGGGGACGGTCATGATGCCCACTGCCTGCGAGGCTGCAAGACCGAGCTCAGTGCTAACCAGCACCGGGTGCCTACCGCGCGGCCCCCCAGTGGCTTAGATAGGCGTCCCGGGGTGATTTTCAGCCTGGGGGCTTGAGAGCTAGCAAAGGGCCCGCAGCCCCGTCAGTGTGGGCGCCCTGGGCGGCCTCTCCCGGCTCCTGGCAGCCGGGCTCGGTGGTCGTGCATCCGCTCAGCGAGCGCCCTGCCGCGGGGACTCGGGCCCTAGGGTTCCCGGAGGGGGGCTGGGGGGCTGCGGCTCAGAGGCGCTTTTGCGTCAGCCCCGGGTTCCAACGGAGTCACTGCCCGCCCGCCGCGGGGCCTCAGTTTCCCCGTCTGCGCAATGGGGGCGGGGCGGGGCTCCGGCGGGGCCGCCAGGTGGGGCGGGGCCGGGGGCGGGGCGGGGCGGGGCTCGGGGCCCCCACGGCGCGGGCTCGGGCGGCAGTGTCGGCGGCGCGTGCGCGCCCCGGATCCGGCGGTGAGTGCGGAGCGAGCGGGGCGCGCCGGGGTCGGGGTCTGCTCGTCGCCCGGGCTGGGGCGAGGGCGGGACCCGCGGAGCCCCCGGGGACGGGGGACCTGGCCCCGCGCGGAGCCGGGGGCGGCTCCGGGACGAGACAGCGCGACCGCGGGGCCCAGAGCGGGGAGCGGGCCGAGGCGTCCGCGGCTGGGTCGGGCCGGGCCGGGAGAATGGGCCCAGCGGCCTCGGGAACCGGCTCCCCCTGCCGGCGGCTGGCGGGCGGCGCGGCGGAGAGGGCGGGGGGCGCCGCGGCCCCTCGTCCTACCCGGCCCGACCCAACGCCTCGGGGCCCAGCCCCTGCTGCCTGCTCCGCCCCCCCCAACCCCGGAGCCGGCCGCGCGGCTGGGAGGGGGCGGCGGTCAGGTCCGTCTCGCTCCGCCTCTGCGCCCTCCCTCGTGGGCCTCAAGGTCTCCAGCCCCGCTCCCGCCGCGAGGGGTCCGCCAGTGCCTGCGGCGCGGCCAGGCCCCTCCCTCTGCGGACCCGGCCTCCCGTGGGTGGGGGCTGCGGGGCTGCTGCCGGGCAGGTGGGGAGGGAGCCCGTGGGCGCTGGGGGCACGGGGACCGGACTGCTGGTCCACCTGGAGCCGCCGCCCCCTCCCCGCCCGGCACCTCTGGGTTGAGGCTGTGGCCCCCCAAGGGAAATGGGGCTTGCAGCACCAGCTTGCAGAGCGCCACGGGCTTCCTCTGGCCTCGGGAAAAGCATGACTTTCAAAAATTGAGTGTCCACTTCTCAGCACCGCTTCCTTTCCAGACGACTCTCAGGAATTGTGGGGAGTGCTGTGCGAATATGTGTGGGGGGCAATGAGGTCTGGGAGATTCGCCTCTCCCCAGGCCTGCCCTGGCATCTCCCTGCCCACCCCAAGCCACCCGGCCGCTGCCCTACCTCTTCCTTCCCGGGTCCTCATCCCCAGTGTCACCTGTCCCCCCACTTCGAGTCTTGCTTTGGGGTCGCACAAGGCCCAGCCCCTAACAGTGTCCTTCAGCCCCTAACAGGGCCCATCCCCAGAGTTAATCTCCAGCCCCCTCTGACCCCTGGACAAACTCCTGCCCAAAAACTGCTGTGATGTCCCCACTGCCCCCCAGCTAAGTCCCTGCCCCTCAGCTGCCCAGGACAGCCTCTGCCTAGTTGGCAGCCTCTGCCCTGCCCTCTTCTCTCCAGCGCACGGAGAACAGGAGGTCCACGAAGGACCCCCAGCCACCCTCCCGCTGGGACTGGGTGATGCCGTGGCAGTGCCCGTGGGAAGCAGATGTGGGTGGGAAGACACCCAGTGGGGCTGGCCAGCAGCGACTGAGGACAGCGTGACTGTTTATAGGACTGGCCGTCAGAGCCAAGGAGGGGCCTCAGAAATCCTATTCTCGTATCTGAGGAAACTGAATCCCAGAGAAGGGACAGCCTTACCCCAGCCTCTGCCCCTGAAGCCTGGCCTTTCCCTTCTGGGAGCCCTGGAGTGCCTCAGAAGGAACCCACCCAGCCTTTGGGAAGCACCCTTGAGAGGCCCTGGGTGGGACCCCGGAGCATGGCAGGGGCTCGCCAGCTCTCCAGACCCCTGGCTGTGTATAGGACAGAATCCCCACCCCCGGCATTGTCACAGACCATTAATTCTGGGCTCTCTCATGCTCTCAGGAAGCCTCACCGGGCCCCTGGCTCCTGCGGCACAGCCAGGAGGGGGTTGGATTCTGGCTCTGGTGACACTGTAGGGGGCTGCTGCCCACCCCCAGGTGTGCACCTGTCACAGCCACTGTCCCAGGATCCCTGGAGGCTGATTGCACACATATCGCAGCCTGGGAGGGACCCCCCTCTAAAATGAAGGCTGCCCCTCTGGTGGTCTTAGAATGTGTGCACCCCCGAACGGTTCCTGCTGGCTTGCAGCTGCCGGCCCATCCCCCGGGGCCGGTTCCACACTCAGAAGATGAGAAACCAAAGCCCAGAACAGCTGAGGCCAGCATGTCCCTAGTGGGGCTGGATCTCAGCTCTGCCCGCGAACACCCCGTTTGTACAGACTGGGGTGCAAACTCACCCCTGCCCTACTGTGAGGAGGGCCCTGGAACCAGGCAGGACAGGAGAAACTGGGCCCCAGGAACTGGGGGGACGTCCAGCAGGATCCACTGGATTCCTGTACCAAGAGCTCTGGACAGCATCGCCCCCCTGTGGTCCCCAGGCTGTGGCCCCAGCTGTTTGTGGCTGGCGAGGGTCTCGATGGCTGGAAAAGGGGGCCAGGGGAGGAGAGAGTGGGCACCACCGTGGGGCTCTCCCACTGGTGGAGGCTCCAGCGGAGATGAGCTGGGCAGGCCTCATGGAGCAAGTGCAAATTGCATCCGTGGCGTGGGGGCAGAGCATCTTTGGGGAGACTTAAGGGTCATGCTTTGTGCCCCAGGCCACCCAGAGGAGAAGGCCACCCTGCCCGGAGGCACAGGCCATGTGGGGCTCTCAGGAGATGCTACTGGTGTGGCTTCTGGTGTTGGCAGCAGGCGGCACGGAGCACGCCTACCGCCCAGGGTGAGCCAAACCCTGACCTGTGAGTGCTGGGGTGGGGTGACCAGGAGCCCTCAGCCCGTCCTGGAGGCAGCCCTCAGCACCTGTGGGGGACTCCCTGGGGACTCCTGCAGAAGGTCCTGCCCCAGCCGCATGTCCCCATCATTGTTGGGTCCTGCTCTGGGACTCCTGGGCTGACCCCTTGTCCACCCCCACAGCCGTAGGGTGTGTGCCGTCGGGGCTCACGGGGACCCTGTCTCTGAGTCCTTCGTGCAGCGCGTGTACCAGCCCTTCCTCACCACCTGTGACGGGCACCGGGCCTGCAGCACCTACCGGTGAGTGCCCCACCCAACCAAGCCCACCCAGCCCCAGCCTCCCAAGGCCAATCCCCCAAGTTGCCCCCATCTGCCACACATCAGCCTGTCGAGGGGGGGGCCGTGAATCCTGGGGCCTAAGATGGGAAACTGAGGCCAGAGCCACGAGAGGGCCGACTGAGATGGGTGACCCAGGGCGGTTGGAGCCAAGGGGTTCCATGGTCACCTCCAACGTCCTAATCCTTGCTCTCGTCCCGACACGTCTCAAAGGGCAGCACCTCTAAGGGCATCCCCATGTTGAGAGGGGTCGCCCGTCCTGTCTGCACCCCTCCACTTCTGGGGGATTAACCCCTCCCTGCCCTGTATCCCTGGCTGCAAGGTCCCATCTCCACGGAATGGTGCCCGACTCCCCACTCCACTGAGCAGCCCCTCCACGTGACGGCCCCCAACGGGCACAGATGAGGCCCTGAGAGGTCCCGTGTGCCCACACAAGGGGCTCACACCCCCCAGTCTCAGCCTCGGGCAGAGTCCTCCTTCCTCGGTGTGGGAGATCCACCCCCTGCTGGGGGAGGGGCTTGGGAATTCAGTCTCCTGGAGGTTTAAGAAGTGCTCCGATGCCCAGGGCCCACACTCTGCCATGACCCGCTGCAGGCCAGGCAGGCCCTCTCCTCTGGGCCTGGATGCCCCCACAGGAGGAGGCCAGATAGGTGGGGGCACACACAGGCCTGGCCACTGCCTCTGCTCCATGCAGAATGTGGCTGGGCCTTCCTGCTGTGGCTTGAGTCCCGGCCAGCACCGGAAGTCCCAGGCAGGGAAACGGCTGTGCAATGACCCCTCAGTGCCATCCCTTGGGGAGAAGACCCCTGGGGACACGCTGGGGTGACTCTGTCCACTCTGAGAGGGGACTCTAGCTGCCAAGTGGGTGGCTAAGGGGGAGTAGGATGCCCCTCTGAGCTGTCCTGCCCACCCCACAGAACCATCTATAGGACCGCCTACCGCCGCAGCCCTGGGCTGGCCCCCGCCAGGCCTCGGTACGCATGCTGCCCCGGCTGGAAGAGGACCAGCGGGCTTCCCGGGGCCTGTGGAGCAGGTGAGGGCTACGCCCCTCGGTGCCTGGTGTTAGTCAGAAGGGCGACTATTCCCCAGTCTTCCAGCAATGCTCCTGCTGCTTTTCTTGAACCCGGAGCAAAGCACCACCTTGCCACAGAGCACCCACTCCCTAGCAGCTGCCCCCACAGGGCGCTGGGGACCCAACTGAGCTGGTGACCAGCCTCCCCTACCCACAGCAATATGCCAGCCGCCGTGCCGGAACGGAGGAAGCTGCATCCAGCCTGGCCGCTGCCGCTGCCCTGCGGGATGGCAGGGTGACACCTGCCAGTCAGGTGAGGCTGGCTCCACCCTGGGGGACCCTGGAAGGGGCCTGGGCACCTCCTTGCATGTCCTGGGGTTACTGCTGGCCCATGAGTGAGTGATTGTGAAGGGAGCTATGTCGGCAGGACCCCTCCCACAGGCATGGCCGCCTGACACCCCATTTCCCACAGATGTGGACGAATGCAGTGCTGGGGGGGCCGGCTGTCCCCAGCGCTGCGTCAACACCGCCGGCAGTTACTGGTGCCAGTGTTGGGAGGGGCACAGCCTGTCTGCAGATGGTACACACTGCGTGTCCAAGGGAGGGCCCCCCAGGGTGGCCCCCAACCTAACAGGTAAACTCAGCCCTGGCTGGGCCTGGCCTGGGGAGGTGGGCAGCCAGTGGACATTGCCATGTGGCTCTGTGTTAGGCACGGTGAGGGGCACTGGAACCTGGGTGGAAGGTGGTGGGGGCTCCCTCTCCAGGGAGGGAAGATGGGGCGGGAGGACAGGTGGGTTCCTGAGAACTGGGGGCAGGTTGCCTGGAGCCTCACGGTCAGCCAAGAAGGCGGAAGTGCCCGTCTGCGTGCAGTGCAGCATTCTGGAAGACGCCACGCCCCCGCTGGTGATGGGACATTATTACTTTTGGTACGCGCTGTGACACTTCAAACTCGTACCGTGAGTAATAATGCGCTGTCCACAGCACCGCATCGAAAGCGCCGCTGACACCACAGCTCCGACCTCCCTCAGCGTGGCCGGGACCCTGAGCAGCTGCGCAGAGCCATGCGCCCCGATGTACTTAGGTGGCACAGCCCTGAGACCTCTGGCCAGCGCCAGGCGGGCGTCGGGGCCGGCAGAGGCCTGGATCTGAGTCTTTGGGCTCTGCCTCTCCCTGGGGACAGGAGGGAGCCTGGGGGTGTGGGTGGGGAGCCGGCCGACCCTGACCCAGCGCCTGGCTCTGCCCCCAGGAGTGGACAGTGCCATGAAGGAGGAAGTGCAGAGGCTGCAGTCCAGGGTGGACCTGCTGGAGGAGGTGAGGCCTGGGGTGGGGCAGGTCCTCGCGACAGCGGAAGCCCAGGCCAGGATATAGGCTCCATAGTCTCCTGAGACGTGGTCGCGACCCACAGATGGCTGGGGGTGGTCTGAAAAGGTCCTGGCCCTGGGGAGGCAGCTTCCTTGCTGCTGACTGCCGAGGGGGCCCTGGCCTGGATCCATACTGGGCAGAGGCAGCCAGACACTGACCAGGACCCCCAGGGCTGGAGGAACCAAGCGTGGCAGCCCCCTAGACCATACACACAGCCTGGACCCAGACAAGACTCCCCCACCCCCCACCACCTTCGTCCCCACCAGGACAAAGAGCTCCTGCCAGTCTTCCCACTGGCCAGTGGTCCAGCTGTTCCCCTAGTTCTGCCGGGGACCCCAAGGCTGGGACCACCCGGCCAGCCTGATGCCCCAGGTACCCACTCTGCCGCAGGCTCTTCTGGCACAGCAGCCCCCTCTAGTGGACACCTGGAGCCCTGCCGCAGGGGCTGGGGCTGGAGGCTTGTGGAGCCCTTCCCTGGGGGTTCCCCCCTAGACCCTGGTGGAGCAGAGAGGGCGGGGCTGGCCCGGAGTCACCACCCTTCTGCACCCGCAGAAGCTGCAGCTGGTGCTGGCCCCACTGCACAGCCTGGCCTCGCAGGCACTGGAGCATGGGCTCCCGGACCCCGGCAGCCTCCTGGTGCACTCCTTCCAGCAGCTGGGCCGTATCGACTCCCTGAGTGAGCAGATCTCCTTCCTGGAGGAGCAGCTGGGGTCCTGTGAGTGCCCCCCACCCTCCAGAGCCCTCCTCCCGGGTCTGCGCCCAGTTGGCCTAGAGGGGCTACCCAGGCTTGGGGGTCGGGGGTGACCAAAGGCCAAGGGGTCAGATCTGGCTGGGCGGGGAGGCTATGGGGAGCAGTGACCTCTGACCTTAGCCTCATCCAACCCTAGGCTCCTGCAAGAAAGACTCGTGACCGCCCCGGCGCCCCAGGCTGGACTGAGCCCTTCACCCTGCCCTGCAGCCCCCATGCCCCTGGGCGACATGCTGGGGGTCGACACCACTTTGGTGTCTCAGTGGAAGGCCAGGCAGGGCCCTCTTGCTCTTCCTCCTCCCCTTCCTCAGGAGGCTCCCAGGGCTCTGGTGTGGGGTGGGCTGTGGTCTTCTGTGTCAATCCACCCCTAGCCAGCCCAACGGTATCCCAAGGCCAGGTGGGCCCTCAGCCAAGGGAAGGTACGAGCTCACGGACTCTGCTGGAGACTGGGACCCGTGGCACAGGCCAGGCAGCCCGGAGGCTGGGTGGGGCTTCAGTGGGGGCTGCTGCCTGACCCCCAGCAGAATAAAAATGAAATGTGAGCTGCTGTGTCAGTGGATGGACTCGGGGCCTGGGGGGAGGGCTCTCACCTCCTGGCCACCCCACCCAGACCCGCTGCCGGGTGCCGGCTGGCAAAGGGGGCCAAGTGGAGCTGGGAGTAGGGTGGGGAGGGCACTCCAAGGGAGAGGGGCTGGGCAGGTGGTTTCTTTGAGGCCACAGAGAGCTTTGTCCTGGGGATGTTTTGGCCCCAACCAGAGGCCAAAAAGCAAATCTCTGGCCTCCTTCCCAGTAGCCTGAGGATCCTGGCACACCTGCCCCAATTAGGCGACACCCCCCACCCACCGATGGAAATATTAGAGGGTGATGTGGGCCCACCCCTGGAAAGAGAACACGGGTGGGTGGCGGTGCCTCCACCCCAGGCTCTTAGGGAGAGCAGCTGGGAAGACACAGCATGGGCTCTACCACCCTGGTCACCCTGCCCGCCCTGTGAGTGACCACAGCTGTCCAGCCACTTCCAAGAGTGTGTTTATAAAAAAACAGCAACGGAGTACAATGCTGACTCCAGAGTCCTCCACGCCGGCAGGAGCAGCAGGTCCCACTTCCCGGCTCCCTGTGGCCCAGGGTGCGTGAGTCTGGGACTCCCGGCCCTCCAGGCGCCTTCTCTCCCTGAGAGCCTGATGCAGCTTGTAGGCTGGACCCTGGAGCCCAACTGCATCCGAGTGGGTCCCAGGTGGCCAGAGCAGAGGGCTCGGGCAGTGAACGTTGGGCCTTGGGGTCCTCCTGTCTGCTCCTGGGCTATCCGGGGGCCTTGTGGCTCAGCCCACCTGCCGGCCACAGCCTCAGGCCTCATCCTCATCATCCCAGCTCTGAGGTGCCGTGGGGGTGAGTCCCTGCCCTCGAGCCTGGGGAGGGTCCAGCTGATCCCCCTGCAGCGGACGCCAGGGGCCCATGTCTGAGGCCAGTGACAGAAAGGACCTCCTGCTTCCAGGGCTGAATGAGAGCCAGGGGAGCCGGACACAGTGGTATTTGGAAGCCTGGGTGGGGGTCCCCTCTGCCCATCCTCCAGCCATTGGCTTCCCACCTGCCCTCCCCAGGTCCTGCCCTGCCGTGGTCTCAGCTACTGGGCCAGCTGCACGCCAGGCCCCGCAGTGGCCCCGTTCTCCTGGGGGGTCTTGGAGATGTGGAGGAAGGTGGTCCTCATGGCCCGGTGGCAGGTGTCCACGAGTGCAGGGACATCCGCCTCGGTGAGGCCGCTGGTGGGGATGGCTTCCAACACCTGCACTGTGACTGTTCCTGCCATGGGGAGCAACAGACCTCAGCAGCCTGTGGGGGAGCTGGGGCCCACCTCAGCCCTGCTGCCCCAGCCTCACCTCTCCCCGGCCCCCCATAGCCACTCCCTGGGAAGCCCCTGAGGCCAGGCTCTTCTCCTGGACTCCCTAGCCATGGTGGGTTATTTTAATTGCAGTAATGTTGGTGCAGTAAAACCGATAGCTGCCTGGCCTTCATGCCAGTTTCGACAAGTCTATGCTCCCGTTACCGCCCCCAGAAAGCCCCCCTTCCCGACTGCCCCTGCCCCACTGCCTGGCCGCTGCACTCCATACGGGGGGCTGTGGGAGAGATGGAGCTGGGTTCCCCCACTGCTTTCCAACTTTGACCCCACTGTCCCACCTGGGCACCAGGTACCCATGTTCTGGGAACTGGCTGGGAGGGCCAGAGGCTGTGAGCCTCGCCGCCTGTGCCCTTGGGTTGCCTGGGCTCCATCTACCCCATGCAGGCATCAGCCTGGACGCACAGGCTCAGAGGCCACCCTTCAGCCCTGGAGGAGGCCACCTCAAGGCCCCCAAGCTGTGTGCACAGCTGGGGTCTATCCGTGCGAAGCCGGGCATCCAGGCTACCCTCTTGGAGCCTCAGTTTCCTCATCTAAAAAATGGGCCCAGCACCACCCATCTCACGGGGCCACTGGGAAGGGTGACTGCCATGAGATCATGAAGCCCAGAGCCGGGACTCCAGCCTGAGTCACTCATTCGCCACATGGTCACCATGTGGCCACGCCACGGGTGCCACCCAGAAATGGGAACGACGAGGGGCCTGGGGCTCCGTGACCATAGGGTCAGGCAGGGCCTACACCCGGGGTGCACACATGTGGGGGTACCTGAGGTGAATAACTTCTTCTTGGTGTTGTAGAAGGAGGAGAAGGAGGAGTACACCACGGGGACGATGGGCACCTGTGGGCAGGGAGACACGCGGCTGAGGCAGCCCTGGGGACAGGCCGGGCACACCCCGGGCTGCATATGGTTGGGGAGCCCTGTCCTGTGGCCCACCTGCCCCTGCCTTCGCTGCTGCCATGGGTCCTTGTGGCTGTCCTGCCCTTGGGACCTGGGATACCTGTCCTGCTCTGGTTGGCCCAGAGTTGCAAAGCTCATCCTGCAAATCTCTACTTACCTCCTCTAGGAGACCCTCCTGAGCTAGCACTTATTTGTCTGGTTCACGCCTGTCCCCGTACTGGATGTGTAGCTAGCCAGTGGGGCAGGGCCCTGTCCGATGTAGGAGGAGGTTATGGCGCTCTTCCCTGCCCACGCCTCCCTCCCAGTCCTCTCTCCATCCCAGGAAGCTAGTGAGGGAGGCAGCTCTAGCCGGGGAAGGGGTGGAGCCTGCTGGTGTTCCTGGAAGCCACTGGGGTCAAATCCAAGGGCACTTGGGGGTGATCATTAACCTGAGGCAGCCAGGGAACCTCCAGGGGCCCGGCAAGTAGGCTGGGGACTGGAGGCAGGGAGGGAGGGGGCCAGCAGGTAGGTGGGGACTGGGAGCAGGGAGGGAGGGGGCCGGGAGGTAGGCTGGTCTCCTGGCTGCCGCCACCCCCAGCCTCCCCCATCACAGCCTCCCATCTCCCCTCTCCTCTCCCAGAGCCGATCCAGCCGTCACTCCGCCCCCAAAGGGAAGTGACATCAGCCCCAGGCTGGGCAGGTGTGTCCTGCACCTGGGCAGGGCTGGGATCAGAGCCCAAGGATGCCCGCCCAGCCCAGTGCCTCCGGGGCTCCCCAGGCCTCACAGCCTTAGCTGGGAGCCTCCGGAAGGAGGGCCCCCTCCCACCCACCTTGCACAGGGTCAGGCACGGGGGCCACTACAGGCCAGTGTGAGGGAAGGACCTGAGACCCCGGCCCTGAGTGAGACCCCACCCAGGTAGGGTAAAAGCTCCTTCTCCTGACGCAGCTCTCCCCAGCACAGCGGCAGGGGCAGGACAGGTGCCGTGGGGTTGGGTATACCCTGGCCTCTCCCAGACACCCTAGGACACGCTGCACCCCTGGAGGCTGGGGACCAGGAAGTCCAGAGTCTGCAGGTGCCGCTCACAATGAGCTCCACCCACCCCAAGCTCTGGCCCGACCCGCCGCTACACCAAAAGCCTGGCTTGTCCAGACCCACTGCCCATGCCCTGAAGCCCACCCCAGCCAGGCACGGGCCCAGAATGAGCCTCCTGAGAGCCTGGCGGGCAGAGGCCAGCGGCCCGGCTTCCCACCCCTCTACCTGCCCAGCCTCACAGGCCACGTCCTGGGTGCTCACCAAGGGCAGCTGGTCACTCGGGGCTCTGTGTGGGCGAAAGCCTAAGGGGCTGCCCTCCCTGGCCGGTCAGGGGGCAAGTGTGGGAAGGGGCAAGGAGGCCCTGTCCCCAACTCAGTGGGAGGAGTCCCTTGCCTGCCAAGGGTCCTCAGCTTGGCTGGGTGGTCACCTCCTGCCTTAAGCCAGCCTGACCCCGCCTCCGCAGCCTGCACCCCCCCCGGAGGGCTGGGCTCGGCCTACCTGTGCCTGGACCGCCAGGTAGAAAGCACCTTTCTTAAAGGGCAGAAGGTCCCCGTTGTCGTTACGAGTACCCTCGGGGTAGATCCACACTTTGAGCTGCAGGGAGAGAAGAGCCTGGGCTGACCTCACGCCCAGGCCACCCCAGAAAGGCGGCGCTCCCTCCCCTCCGAAGAAGCCGCACTCGGTGAAGCAGCTGGCGTGGGACCCGATCTGAGGAGCAAGGACGATGTGGGGTTTTTTCTGCCAAAACCAAGTCACAGGCTGGTCCCCGCCTGACCCCGCCCGGGCCCCACCCCGACCCCACCCAGCCCCGGCCCTGCACACTCACGTTCTCCCTGACCATGCGCTCGCCCAGGTCGGCCATCACCGTCATGGCAGTGCTAGAGCGCTGCCGGTTGATGAAAAAGACGCCCCCCAGGTACATGATGAGGCCCACGGGGCCCAGGAAGAGCAGCTCCCGCTTGGCGATCTGCACGCAGCGCTCCGGAAGGACCTCCATGAGGCCTGGGAGACAGAGAGAGAGAGACAGACAGGGAGAGGGGGAGACAGTCGCTGAGCACCCACAGACCTGCCTGGGGCCCTGCCTTCTCCCTGGCTACCTGGGCGGGTCGTGTGGCCTCCAAGCCTCTGTGTCTGGCCCTGAGGGAGGGACTGAGGCCAGGCTCGCCCAGACACAGGCAGTGTCTTGTCCTTTGTGTCTTCGTCCTCGGGACCCCGCCCCAGCCCCGCACAGCCCCAGCTCAGCGGGCCCCACTCAGAACCCGGAAGCCGCCCCGGATGCCCGGCCTACCCATCATGTCCAGGATGCTCTGGTGGTTGGAGACGATGACGCAGGGCCGGGCCTCCTGCAGCCTATGCTGGTCCCGCACCTTGAAGCGGAGCCCATAGAAGTACTTGAAGCTTCGCACGAACCAGCTGATGATGCTGCAGGGGAGGCCACCGTGAACACGGGCCCCGCAGATCCCGCAGCCGAGGCTGGGGCGCGGAGGCCTGGGGGTGGGGTGCGGAGGAGGCCGGGGAGGGGCCCTCCTGGCGCAGGGCAGGAGACCGGGAGACACACGGGAGGGAGCCAAAGGGACAGAGTCCTGGGCCCGGCTCACCCACCTGGACGGCTGCCCTGCCTCCATCTCCCCAGCAACAGGGGAAAACCCAGAGCCTCTGGAACTCGGATGCTAGGAGCATGGGCAGGCGCCCACTTCCAAATCCACGTCCAGGGGCCTGCCCAGTCCTCAAACACCCCACAGGGGACCCAGCCGGAAAGGAAGCGGCACTGGCTCTCACGTCCACCATGAAGGACCCACGTCAGGGAGAGCAGCCTCTGCACCCCTGCAGAGGAGATGGGGCCCCACACACCCTGGGGAAGGTCACTGGCCCCTCAAGGCAGGGCCACATCAGGAATAAAGTGTCAGTGCCAGTGGACACCTCTGAAAGGACCTCCGAGAGGCTCTTCCAGAAAACAGCCAAGACCGAGTCCTTCTCTCACCCCTACCCTACAGAATCAGGCCGGGTTCCCTTTCCCCATGAATAGGCGGCGGGGGTTCGGGGCTTGTCTGAGTTCACACCAGGAGCAGGAACAGAGCCAGGGTCCTGGCCACCTGAGCACCGGCCCCAGCAGCCCCCACTCTGGCAGGGGCCCAGCCCACTGGCGGCTGCCCTTGGAGCACCTGTGAACGTGAGGTGGCCTCGTCCAAGCAGCCCATCGTGGTTGGGACCAGGGATGTCCAAGGGACACCTGAAGTCTCCGACCAGCTCCAAGCGCCCCAAGCCTGTGCCCTGCTGCACTGCCAGGAAGCTCTGGGCATACCCCAGATATGGTACCTGCGCATCACAGGGCAACTGGCAGGGATGGAACCAGGAGGACGGAGCTCACCCCAAAGCTCCAGCAGAGGTAGATGACCAGGGGCAAGGCTGTGCCAGCGCTGACCGGGGGGCTCCCAGTGCTGCTCCCCTCTCCATGCAGAGTAGTGTCCCCCGCCATTTGAGCCCCAAACAGTCCTGAGGGCCCCCCGCTTTGTGCAGATGAGTCTGAGTAACTGCTCCAGGCCACAGAGCAGGGTTTCAAAGCCGAGGCCTCCTCTCAAAGCCACACTGGTGGGGATTTTTGTTTTTTTTTTTTTTTTTTGAGACAGAGTCTCGCTCTGTCGCCCAGGCTGGAGTGCTGTGGCCGGATCTCAGCTCACTGCAAGCTCCGCCTCCCGGGTTCCCGCCGTTCTCCTGCCTCAGCCTCCCGAGTAGCTGGGACCACAGGCGCCCGCCACCTCGCCCGGCTAGTTTTTTGTATTTTTTAGTAGAGACGGGGTTTCACCGTGTTAGCCAGGATGGTCTCGATCTCCTGACCTCCTGATCCGCCCGTCTCGGCCTCCCAAAGTGCTGGGATTACAGGCTTGAGCCACCGCGCCCGGCCAATTTTTGTTGTTTTAATAGGGTCTTGCTCTATCACCCAGGCTGGAGGGCAGTGTCACAATCTCGGCTCACTCCAGCCTCCACCCACCTCAGGCCGCTGACTAGCTTGGGACCACAGACGTGCGCCACCACACCTGGCTAGTGTTTGTATTTTTGGTAGAGATGGGGTTTCACCGTGTTGGCCAGGCTGGTCTCAAACTCCTAGGCTCAAGCAATCTGCCCATCTCGGCCTCCCAAAGTGCTGGGATTATAGGCCCGAGCCAACTCGCCCGGCCTTTAAAAAAAAAAAAACAATCGTGGTAAAATACACGTAACATAAAATGCATCTCCTTGGCCTTTTCTGGGCGCACGGTTCACAGGCGCTGGCCACATTCGGTGTCCTGTAGCCATCTCCTCCCTCGTCTCCAGAACGGTCCACCTTCCCCGGCTGACGTCTGTTCCCATACGACACCAACCCCCCCCGTCCCCTCCCTGCTCCTGGCGCTCTGCCCTTCCATGTGTGAGCCCAGGCCTGTGGCAGCACCACCTCCGGCGGATGGGGCGACGCTCATGACCCCGGTTGCAGATGGGGAAACTGAGTCAAGGGGGGCCTAATGGTTAATTCTGATGATGAGTCCAGCCGTCCGTCCCTGGACTTGGAAGCCTGGGGCCTCCTCAGATCTGCCCTCCTCAGCCAGCTCCGGAGACGTCTCTCCAGGCCATGCTGGCCACTGCCCCCTCCCACCCAGAAGGCGTGCCCGGGCTGGCAGCACCCGCACGCTCAGGGGAACTGCAGGGCTGTTTTGCCTCCACACTCATCTGTACGATCCAGCTTCCCGGACCCCTGTGATGCTCCAAGAAGACAAGGAGGCAATAGCTGGCAGTTCACCAACAGAACACACGGAACTGTCTGCTGCTAGCAAGACGGTGGCGTCACCAATCAAAGAAATGCAAACGGAAACAAGAGACCGTCCTCATCCTTCCCCCCGGCACAGATTAAAACGCCTGATAACAGGAGGTGCCAGCCAGGGCGTTGGGAACGGGCCCAGCACCTGGCAGGAGTGGGGAGTCGCACAGACACAGATGCTTCCAGAGGGCAGGTTGGCAGGCCCGGCCAGAGCCCTGAGGAAACCTGGCCCCTCTCCTCTCAGAATCTTCCAGGAATTCACCCGAGGCCTGGAGAAGCCTGGGGTGCTCAAGTGTGCGGTGAATTAGGAAAACCTGAAAATGCTTAAATGTCCGCCGGTAGGGAGAGGGAAAGTAAATTAGGGTCCGTTTCACAGCCAGCTGCGACAGAGGGAAAGAACAGGGCAGGTCCACACTCACATCCTGTGAAAGATTTCTAGCAGCAGCCAAGACGCACCTGCAATTCCAAAGCTAGCTGCCTGCAGAAGTCTCGGGTCACATCTGAAAGGGACAGTGGTTCCCTCTGGTAGTGACATTGGCCAGTTCCATCTTTTATCTACTTTTTTTATTTTTGAGACAGGGTCTTACTCTGTCACCCAGATTGAAGGGCAGTGGTGTGATCTCAGCTCACTGCAACCTCCACCTCCCAGGCTCAAGCAATTCTCATGCCTCAGCCTCCCGAGTAGCTGGGATCACAGGCATGCGCCACCACGCCTGGCTAATTTTTTGCATTTTTAGTAGAGATGGGGGGGTCTCACCATGTTGGCCAGGCTGGTCTTGAACTCCTGACCTCAAGTGATCTGCTCGCCTCGGCCTCCCAAAGTGCTGAGATTACACACCCAGCCTTTTTTTTTTTTTCTTTTTTTTTCTTTTTTTTTTTTTTTTTTTGAGACAGAGTCTCGTTCTGTCACCCAGGCTGGAGTGCAGTGGCACCATCTCGGCTCACTGCAACCTCCGCCTCCTGGAGTCAAGCAATTCTCCTGCCTCAGCCTCCAAGTAGCTGGGATTACAAGCACACGCCTCCATGCCTGGCTAGTTTTTGTATGTTTAATAGAGACGGGATTTCACCATGTTGGCCAGGCTGGTCTCAAACTTCTGACCTCAGGTGATTCTCCCGCCTCGGCCTCCCAAAGTGCTGGGATTACCAGCATGAGCCACCACAGCAGGTCAGCTGGTTTCTTAGTGTTGACAACTGCATCTTGGTGATGGAAGATATTAACAAGGGAGGACTGGTGAGGGCCATATGGAGTCCCCCTGTAATATCTCTGCAACTTCTCTGTAAATCTAAAATTATTAAAAAATGAGATGTCCATTTATTTTTTTTGAGACAGAGTCTTGCTGTCACCTAGGCTGGAGTGCAGTGGTGTGATCTCATCTCACTGCCATTTCCACCTCCCGGGTTCAAGCAATTCTCCTGCCTCAGCCTAGCAAGTAGCTGGGACTACAGGTGTCCACCACCACGCGGGGCTAATTTTTGTATTTTTGGCAGAGATAGGGTTTCACCATGTTGGCCAGGCTGGTCTCAAACTCCTGACCTCATGATCCGCCCGCCTCGGCCTCCCAAAATGCTGGGATGACAGGAGTGAGCCAGGCACCCGGCCCTCCTCTGTTTTGATTGTGGTATAACATGCACCACTTAAACATTATCATTTTACCCGTTTCTCAGCGCATGGTTCCATGGCACTCAGCGCATCCCCTGCTGTGCGGTCAGCACCACTCTCCAGCTCTAAAACTTATTATTATTATTATTATTTTAAATATCTAAGCTGCTTAGGGGATGGATCGTGCACTGATACTTCTCTCAACTGTGAAAGACACAGGTTACAAATCCCCGCCCAGCAGGCAGCACTGAGCAGACACTCTGTCCTGCTGCCCACCACCGGCCCCTGGTCCTCAGGCCAGAAAGATGGACGGACGGAGGCTGCCCCAGGCCAGGAGGAGGCTGTGGCTCTCCAGAACTCTGCAGCCCATGGTGTGGCTGGGGGAGAAAAGTATACCCTGGAGGCAGAAGAAAGTCCAAGTTGTCCTCAAGGGGACAAAGGGCCACCTGCACCAGCCACGTGGAGCCACTGCACTTCCTCCCCTAGTGTCCCATACATAGTTCAGAGCTCTCTGAAAGCTGGTGGGAAAGTATAGACTCTCACTTTAAAAGCGGTTCCTGGCTGGGCGAGGTGGCTCACGCCTGTAATCCCAGGACTGTGGGAGGCCGAGGCAGGTGGATCACCTGAGGTCAGGAGTTCGAGACCAGTCTGGCCAACATGGTGAGATTCCGTCTCTATTAAAAAACAAAAATTAGCCAGGCGTGGTGGCAGGTGCCTGTCATCCCAGCTACTCAGGAGGCTGAGGCGGGAGAATCACCCGAACCAGGGAGGTGGAGGTTGTAGTGAGTCGAGATGGTGCCATTGTACTCCAGCCTGGGTGACAGAGCAAGACTTCATCTCAAAAAAAAAAAAAAAGTGTTTCCTCAGAGAGGAAGGGCCTGAACCTTGTAAGCCCTGCAGAAGCTCCTGCAGCCAAGGACACCCCGGGGGAACCCAGGCAGAGAAAAATCGCCTTCTAAGCACAGAGACCCCCTGTACCTCCTGTGTGCAAAGCCCCGAGACAAGGGTCCTACGTGAGTCACCCTTTCATTCTGA